GGAGGGGGCGGATTCTCGCTAACTTTTATTAGAAAATGAATCATACATTTTTATGCTTCTTTGCTGGTTTTTTCAAACTGTCTTCCAATCACCAAATCACAATATCGTATGTATACAATATTATACAGGCCCAGTAGTAGATACGGCAAACTTTTTACCAAACTGCGACCTGTCACTGGCACTATGTACCAGTGATATACAAAATGCCAGCACTTAAAGTGCATTTCTGCTCAACCGTGCCCGCAAGGCCAAACAGGATGGTAAGCAGCTCTAACCACGAACCAAAAATGGTCAGAGATTCCAAATTCTAGGCATTCTGTATAAACGCTGGTGGTTTACTGGCCAACCCATCGCGTTACAACCCGCGGCCTGGCACAAAAAGATAATTTTGGTAACTCCACGGTCTGTGCACACAAGTACCTGCAAGAGACAGCCGGCCGTCCTGGTGCACCAGAGGCCTACCTAGGAAGCCTAAGTTTCAGAGTCGCATACCGTCACACCGCCACACAGGCATGCGGCACGCGAGGGGGGCGCAGCGGCGGGCAGCAGCGCTTTCCCCGCTGGGTCTCCGCCCCACGGCCGCGCGGGACACCTCCCTTCCCTGCGGCAGCCCCGCAGGGCTGTGGCGGGGCGGCGCCGGCCGGGAAGCCGGGGCGCGAGGGAGGCCTGGCAGTGCCCGCCCGGCCCTGACCAGCCTCCGCGGGCCCGGCGCAGGCACCCGCTAGGCCCACTGGCAGGGATGACAGCACCCGAGGGGACATCGGGGCGGCTTTCCTGGGAGAGCCCAAGGGCCGAGGTCCCAGAGAGGACAGAGCGCGCTGGGCCCGGCCGATCCCTCACCAGACAGGGAAAGGGGCACTCCAGGGAACCGGACCCTCACAGTTCGCCCCCCCCACCAGGGCCAAGCGGGCACCTCCACGCTAAAACAGCTCTTGGGGCTCCCCTTCCCTGCAATGCCCGCGAACAACCCTGAGTTCTCCTCCTGGGGGACGTGTCACTGCCCCCACTCGCCCCCCGGTTACGACATTAGTCACCAGCAAGTCACTCACTCCGCTTCCGCCATCTTCTCTCCTCCATCACTAATGCGGGCTGCGCATGCGCCCCCGAGCGGCGAGCGGAGGGGCGGGGTCCGCTAAGCCCGGGCCCCTGAGGTCACGTGGGGCCGCCGGCTGCCAAGCCCCGCTCCCACCCCAGTCCTCACACTGAGAAATAACCAACCTTCCCAGCCCACGCCTCCGCAAGCCCTCGCTCTCTATCGTCCACGATCTTCTTTTGGGAGGGATTCTAGCAATGATATGAAAAGTTCTGCTTAGACTATTAAATAGTTGAAGAACATCTAAAATATGCCAAAGCCTATGCAAACTGCAAAAAGTGGCTTAAAAGAAAATGCCCACAGCGATTTCCTGCTGAGGGCCCCGAGGGGAAAGAATTGCCAGGCTGTGCTGCCCTGGGAGCTTGGGCGCACTGGATTTTGGTGGTCTCTCTTCCCGGCTTGGAGATAGTGTTCTGATGCTCAAAGCTAATGTGTGGTTAAGGAGTCACTCAAGTCTTCCACATGAATTTACTGGATACTTAGTAGGGACTGTAAATTTGAATACCACAAGGAACAACCAGGAACAGCCACCAGTTTGCTAATGCAGTTTACTATTTGCTGGCCCTCTGCAGTGAGATGAGGCAAGCATAAAGACGAATAAAATATTAAGTATAACTTATAGTAAAAATGTGACTCTGGAGAGGTCATATATTGCAGGCAATATAAATATCTGCATCAGATCCATTAAAACAATGATTCTGTCTCAAAAAACCACTAAAAATGAAATAAAAATTTTTGTTACAACTAACATTTGTACAGCCTTTTATTAAGTGCACAGAATTTCCACCTAAATCCTTTGTTGTGATATGGTTATTATCATTCTCATTTACCAAGAAGTATAGTAAGGATCAAGGTAATGAAGTGACTTTGCTGACTGCTAGCCTGTACAGAAGTGAGGTCCTCCTAATCTAAGCTTTACATGTTGAAAGCCAAGTTTTCTTTACTACATCATTCAGCAAGCTACTATGCACAACGTGAGAGGAGACCAAGTATGATGGACCACTTTCAAGAAACTAAGCATCACAAATCTGATCAAACAAGAGGAAAATATTTTACTCTTTGTCATTTCCTAAGGAAACTGTTTATATGGCACGATAGCAGGTTGAACTTCCTGAAGTTTTCAGGAATCCTATCTGCTACAATCCTGTTTGATTTTAGAAAAATCCCCTTAGCTTTGTGAAGGATGGATTGGAAGAAAGTGAAACAGGACCAGAGAGACTAGTTGGAAAACTGCATTAATCCTTAGAGAAATGATAAGGGCAACAGGAATGGAAAGACGGGTTTATTGAAATTGTTAATTCAGAGCTGGACACAGTGATGTGCGGCTATAGACCCAGCTACTTGGGAGCCTGAGGATCAGTCACGCTCTGGAGTTGAAAGGCAGCCTGGGCAACATTAATGAGACCCCATCTCAAAAACAAAACTTCCAATTCTTAGTTGCGCTGCGTAATTCAAGAGTTCAAAAGCTGTCTGTGGCTACCAGTTACTTTATTAGACAATAAAAATTAGAGCATTTCCACTATCACAGAAAGTCCTGTTGACTAGTACAGTTCTGGACTCAAAATCAGGGCCTGGAAACTACAGCCCATAGGGCAAGTCTAGCCTGCTGCCTGTTTTTGAAAAGCCATCAAGACAAGAAAGGCTTTTACAGTTTCTAATGATTCAAAACATCAAAAGAAAAATAAGATCCTTTTTTGGTTCGTGAGCATGATGATTGGGTGTTCACGCCTGTGCGTGACATGTGCCGCCCTCAAATCTTGTTACAACGTGGGCACATTACCCTTCTGACGTGAGAAAAAAGAAAAAAAAAAAGAAAAATAATATTTTGTGACAACTGTGAAAATTACAGGAAATTTAGGTTTCAGTGTCCATAAATAAAATCCTTTTAGCATCTAACCATGCTGATTCCTTCAAGTATTGTCTGTGGCTGCTTTTGGGCTACAAGGGCAGAGCAGTTATGACAGACACTGTAAGTGCATAAAGCTAACTTGTGTACTATCTGGTCTTTTACACAAAGTATGCTAACCCTCTCCTAGATCACCTTGCCCTGGGTTCTTTCAGAGTAATTAGTACAGCACACACACACTTTTGTCCCACCTAAACCTTGATTACTGTCATAGGATCCCATCTGGTGAATCTAGCAGATACAGATTTGAACACTGGGCTCACTACTTCATCAAATGAACCATCTTGGTCAAGCTATTTAACCACTTCAAGTTTAATTTCGTAATGTGAAAAAGAGGGAGATGATACCTTGCAAGATCATTTAAAGTCTTAAAAGGTCAAATGTAAAGTTGATAAAGTCCTCTTTGTCTTTTTTTTTTTTTAACTTTTTATCAGGGTCCTCCCCTTAGATTTGCTCAATAAATATGATTAAATATGCCTAATAGTCCACAGGCTTTATTTATTTATTTATTTATTTATTGGTGGTAATGGGGTTTGAATTTGGGGCCTCACTTTTGCTAGATAAGTGTACTTACTGCTTGAGTCATTCTGCTAGCCCTCCATAGGTTTTAAATGTTTGTTGAATACCTGGACATTGGGATGAATGAGGCATAAAATTGCAATATATCCTATAAGTTGGAATGACATCATATATAGACTCTCTTTTCCCTGAAAGAAATATACTGTAACCAAATGCTTTTACTATATTGAGTAGAATTGAAACTGAAAACATAACTTACCACCTCTCGCCTACTCTTGCAGTGATTGGTGTGTTAATCTTATGCTTATCAGTCGTTTCTCCCTTTTATCTGTGGGTGGCACTGATCACAGTTGGCTGTATCTCCCCAGGTGCTGCATAGTAGCAACACAGAGCACTAAAGTTGGAAGGGCCCTTAAAAATCATGTGACCTAACCTGAGGAAGAATCCATGACAAATGCAGAATATGGACTCTGACCTCTTATCCACCTAGTCTAGTAGTTTTTTGCCATGTGCCACAGGGCCTTAGTGCAAGTATGTATGTCCTCAAGAAACACTTGAAGATGCTGTGTGCTTTATTGCTTATACTCTCTTTACAACAAAATTAGAAATAAGGGCAAAATAGTTTCTGCTGGGTATTGGGGGG